GCTTGTTTTACAACGTCGTTGCCAAGCGACGAAAACCCAACACCGATGACAAACACCGGGGGGGACGGCATGGGGAAGGCTAAACTATCCTTCGGATCAATGACAGAAACGGTGGCAACAGAAGAAAAACTGCACGCGTCTACCAAGGCTATTACTTCCTTGTACTCGAGTTCGTCGAGGAGTACTTTCATCATTTTCCTCCTTGCTGTCGCTACCATCCCTTTGATCCTGATTTTGACAACAATCTCTTGGCAGTTCTTCCCTAGTCCTGCGTCTTTTGTTTTGAGGAAGGCCATCCGGCCCAAACCCTTTGCTCTCTTCCACTCCTCCATGTTTTCCTCGTCCATCGTCGTCTTCGTTCTCCTTGTTTCCCTTTCCCTTTCCTTCCTCTCCGTCACTCCCCAAGAACTACTATTGTTGTCGCAGAGATCCCAACCGATTGGCCCTGGTGGAAGTTGGTCGATCAGTAGCCCATGACGTTTGAACACGTCGTGAGTTCGCATCGACAAATTTGTGTGCGTGCGTGTGTGTGTGTGAAACAATATATAGAGGGATAAATTTTTGGCATTCGCATTTAGCGCATTGCGCATTTTTTTCGAATTTGGCCAGCTTCCCGAGACGTGTAGGTTTCACCCGCTGTTTCTGACGCCTTGCCAGTGGTCACCCGGTTAACGCGGTCGATGCAAAAATTAAGGACACCCCTATGGACTTCCCAACACCCGGCGCGGAGGGCTACAGAGGGCGGCAACTCCACCGCTTGCCACCAAACCAGCATTTGCAAATGATCAATGGTCCTTCAGTAGGCCCAAAAGGGTTAATATAAACGTAATAACATGCAACATGTATTGCATTCACGAATGCGTTTGGCTCCCAATGGTCAAGAACCGGCGCTAAGGGAAGGGGTTGGCGTTCAAGTGTACACAATCCCTCGTTGAAGTCCAAATCTTGGGTTGAATAGAGGACTCTTGCATCGAGTGTAATCGAAGTATTTTACTGGGGTATGTAAGAGAGCAAGAAGGATCGAAAATGGCTTTACAATGCCTTCTGTTTTGATCGTGTACTACGTGGACTTCGCCACTCCTAGCGCCTACGAAGAACATCAGTAGCCCCAGGGTACCGGCTGCGCATGTATGTGCCCCTCCCTGCAACCCGATTCAACAAATGGCACGCTGCCCCTGCTGCACGACGCATTTCTGCAGTTCTGCGCCCTGCACGCGATTCAAGGCATGGTGGACATCCACAGCAAAAGGTGCGGCGAGCCAGACTGCAGCAAGTGGCCGTCGTACGGCTTGATAGGCAGCAAGAAGGCGCTGTTCTGCGCCCCGCACGCCAGGGAAGGGATGGTTCCGGTCAACGGCAAGAGGTGCGGCTACCCGGGCTGCGCCAAGCAGCCATCCTTCGGCGTGGTTGGCAGCAAGAAGCGGGAGTTTTGTGCTCTGCACGCTACGGGCGACATGGTCGACGTCCACACGAGGAGGTGCGGCCGCCCGGGGTGCTCCAAGCATCCCTCCTTCGGAGTGGCCGGGGGCAAGAAGGCGGACTTCTGTTCCCTGCACGCTATCGATGGCATGATCAATGTCATCAGCAAGAGCTGCGCCTTCGCCGGCTGCTACAAGCAGGCGTCCTACGGCATCGACGGCAGCAAGAAGCGGGAGTTCTGCGCGCGACATGCTGCAGACGGCATGGTCAACGTCATCAGCAAGCGGTGCGCTCACCCCGGATGCACCAAGTGGCCGTCCTACGGCGTGACTGGCGGCATAAAGCGAGAGTTTTGTGCCCCGCATGCTGAGCAGAGAGCACCCGGTACTTTCTTCGGCCAGCAGAAGCAGCAAAAGCAGCAGAAGCAGCAGAAACAAAAGAAACAGCAGCAGCAGCAGCAGCAGCAGCAGCAGCAGGCGCAACAGCAGCAGCTACTGCAGGATCAGCATTTCGGTCCTCGCGGCGGTACTCTCAGCAGCTATGCCTACAATCCAGCACCTCAGGTAGGGGTGGCAAGCGCTGGTATCAACTACGCCTACAATGCAGCACCACAAGCAGCGGCCAACACGGGCAACAACTACGACTACAATGCGATACAGCAGCCGGGAGTGGGTGGTGGCAGCACCACCACCAACAATAACAACACCTACGCATACAATGCAGCTTTGCAGCAGGGAACGGGAGGTATCAGCTGCACCACCACCAGCTATGCCTATAACCCCCTCTCACAGCACGGGGCCCTACAGCATGGAGTAACACAACAGCAGCAGCATCAGCAGCAGCAGCAGCAGCAGCAGCAGCAACAACAACAACAACAACAACAACAACAACAACAACAACAACAACAACAACAACAACAACAACAACAACAACAACAACAACAACAACAACAACATTATCATCAACAACAACAGCAACAGCAGGGCGTCGCACAGCAGGAGGTGGGAGGCGGAGGTGGCAGCATGAAGCGAGAGCTACAGCGCGTCGGACCCATTGGTCTGGAACAGGAGCTTCTCCACCCCTGGCCCCCTGTCACGGGACAACACCAGGCCATCGGCGCCGGGGGGATCACGGGAGGGGGGGTAGGAGCGCCAGGGATAGGAGGGGTAGCAGACTTGCACGGCTCGCGCGAGGATACGGAAGTAGTGCACTCCCTGACCGGGCTCCGGAAGAAAAGGAGGGGCTTGAACGGCGTCGCTATCCCTGTCGGTAGTGGTTTGGCTGGCTTGCCCACTCCCCCCACCACTCCCTCGGGGAGCTCCACCGGCTACATGTAGCTGCCTGCGCCCTGTGAAGGTGTGAAAGAGGATGAAAACTTGAATCACGCAGGAGTGTCGTGTATCTCTGGAGCACCCAGGTGTTGTGTGTGCGTGTGTGCGTCTGTCTTCGTTGTGTCGCGATGACACTCTCTCCTCTCTCTCTGACCATCGCCGTAGGTAACGTTGCGAGTGCCACGTAGTTTGGTGAGATTTCGAAGTCGGGATAAGGAGAGAGGGGGTTGGAAAACCCTTCGCATCGTCTCTCACAACGCGAGGCGATTCCTCACTCCCGCAACGATTGGAATGTTCTTGAACATATTCGCGGTACTCCATCGAGTCGTCTCCGATGGGAGGCTTGCCGTTCAGCCCCCACCTACCACCCGTGGCACGGAATATTGTTGGGTTTACATCGTTCACAGAGAATGAGGTTGCGTTTGTTTTTTGGTGCGTTGTTCGACAAAGAATCTTGCCGGAAACTTAAACACTTGGAACTGTATTTTGCCCGGAACACTCACCCGCGTCAGGGTGAAAGCACATGAGGTTTTCACCGACGTATCACGTTTACGTCGAAACTGTATGTTCGCATTACGGCCAGAGTGATCGCTGCTTTCGAGTATTCTACCTTTTTGTTTTTCTCCCGTACATGTCATGAATGGTTTCAATGTGCTGTCGTGGTAGCTTGCGTGTTGGGTCAGTCTTCGTGCTTCGTCTTGATGGCTGGGCCGGGTGATGGGCATGACGGCAGAAGAGTGGTTCTGCCTTGCTTGTGAGACACGTTTGAAAGAACACGTTAGAATTTTTTTGGTCTTCACCGAATTGCGCAGCCGAAAACAGCATGGGCACCGGGGCGGCGGTGTACAGAACTTGGGCTTCCCGGCGCAGCGTTCAAGGTTACGGGGTATGTTTTGGCTGTGGGAGTTGAATGGTTGTAGATACCTCGAAGCGGTGGTGACATGGATACAGCAGTAGAGGCGAAAGCGGAAATAACAGCACGGCAAAAGTTACATTTTCCGATGACTGTTGTTCCAAACTTGAATTTTTGGACGTGGTGCGCTTGGTTTTTGCGACAGAGTGCTCCATTTCCTTTCCAGTGTGCGAGAGGCACATTCCGTTGGTAGGTAAAATAGATTGACGAGTGTTTCAGCGGAATGCTAGAGAGAGCAGAGAAGAAGCGCTACAATTACGTGACTCCACTTGTCGTTCTGATCGGACTAAAACGACAGCAGAAGGGACGAGAACCCATCGTTTTTTACTGCTGCGTACCGGGTACATGCGTATGTTTTTGTTATTGCCATCGACCGCACTTACTAGCCGGCTGACCAATGTAACAATGACGTCAGGGTCAGCACTGTGTGTTTGTGTTCGTCCCATCTATTCTGGCGCCGTTTTACAGGCCTTTCGGCTTAGTATATACCTGACGTATCAGCCGGGGTCACAAAGATGAAGGTCACACAGGCAGTACTAACCTTGAACAGCAGAGGAATTTCGCTGCATGGATTTTTTGAAACCTTCACTCCCAAAGGCAACAGTTTTTGCAGCAAGCTGGTATCTGTTTGGTGCTCGAGGTACCCTGTTTTGCTTTTCAGAAACTGACCTAACCACAACAACTTGCAAGCTACGGCAAGTGCCATACATCGTATTCCCCGCAGTCTCCCCGTGTGCGTACTCTGGCGAAGAACACGAACAACACTTCTCGCCAGTAGAGGGAAATGCGCCGGCTATCATTTCGCTCATTGCATGTTTGTGCGCTTTTGCTGTGAGCAAGATGGGGGCGGCGGCAATGAAAATCGCGCGCGCGGCTAGAGGACGGGTGTTAGCACATGATGTTCTGGACGTGCGTGTGCGGCTTCTGCACTTCTTCTCCTGTCCGCGGTGGGACTGGCAAGGTAGAGGGTATCAAAACAACCAAAACGATCACACCCATAAATTGTTCCCAAAAAGTGGTACTTATTTTTTGTTGTGGTGTTTTTCATTTATTTTTATTTTTTCTCATTCTCGGGTTCTATGAACGCAGTATATACATGCAATATTCATGTATTTATGGGGTGTGAATATTTCAAATATTTTTCAGGTTTGGGGTTTTCAAGTTTGGGTTTTCAGGTTGGGGGAGTACATATCCGGTAGCCTCGCAGCCTGCTAAGGGCCAGGTCATGGGTTCGAGTCCCGACAGAGTGAGTTTTTCTCGCTAATGAAATCCTGGTCTACGTTGGAAGCGTCGCGCTGCAAAGCTCGTTGTTAGTAAACTTGATCGGCTTCATTAGTCGCAAGGGTCTACTTCATAAGTCGCGAGGGAAGGTATTGCTGTACCCTTCTCGCGATAAAAAAATATCTCAGGCAGGAACCGCAGGAGGGGGTCCACCCCCCCCCCTCCTATGTGACCCCGGTTGGGTCGTCTAGCTGGTAGAAGTGGAGGATAGGGGCCAGAGGAACAGACGACAAAGTTCAATGATGGGAAAAAAAAAAATGAAGAAAAAGTATATATTCACATAGATCCATCCACGTGCCAGATCTGATATAGATACATGAGAGAAATGTAGATGTGTCGAGGATGCATCGATGTGTTGATGTAGATGTGTGCTGCTGTACTGCTGTAGAAGTATGCACAGCATATCATTTGCTAGGAATAGGACGAAGATAGCCTACACGAGGTCGTACTGCTGTCTTCTCCCTGTCCATTCCCCAAAATATATCGTCTAGCGGGCTGACCCGAGATTTCGAAGCAGTTTTTTGTTTTTTTTCGTCCCATCTCTGTCGCCGCTTGGTGCACACTTGCGCGTTTGCCGCGTATGTGCACCTACACTTCTCAGCGTACTTGGTACACTACAACTAGCTAGACGCACCGTCCGGGGTCACACAGGAAGGGGCACCCACGCCGGAGTGATTTGCTGGTTAACCCTTTGAGCTGAACCCTTTTGTGACTGGGTTCTTTCTGGATCTTCCGCGTTATTTTTTGTTCTGCCGGGATCGAATAGACCGCTGAGTCATGTGATACACACGCTTGAACGTGCGCACGAACCCTGCTGGCACGAACAGATTCCCACACGGTCAACCGCACGCACCCCGTGGTGCCACAAAGGTTTAGTGCCCACCAGCAGCGGAACCCTCACCTACTGTTGTATGTAGGTGCTGTCGGAAAGCGGAGGAGACTGAGAAGAGGGCGCCGTTTTTCTTTACCCCAAACACGATTACATGATGATGGCATACATGCATAGTCTACAGCAGCAGCAGACATACATATTTTGCACAGCAGTTCTACATGTATGTCACGCTACCCCGCCGCCGAAGCAGCACACTGGCGCAAGGCATGGCACCGCCTCCAATGCCACTCGGTTGGGTGGGANCCCCGTGGTGCCACAAAGGTTTAGTGCCCACCAGCAGCGGAACCCTCACCTACTGTTGTATGTAGGTGCTGTCGGAAAGCGGAGGAGACTGAGAAGAGGGCGCCGTTTTTCTTTACCCCAAACACGATTACATGATGATGGCATACATGCATAGTCTACAGCAGCAGCAGACATACATATTTTGCACAGCAGTTCTACATGTATGTCACGCTACCCCGCCGCCGAAGCAGCACACTGGCGCAAGGCATGGCACCGCCTCCAATGCCACTCGGTTGGGTGGGAATTCCTTTGGAGAGAAGAAGCACACACGGAAGTACGGTTTGTTGGGATGCATGCATGCGAAACGAAATGAAAACAAAACGCCTTTTTGGAAGCAAGCGGCAGCAGCAGCCCGCGGCAGCAGCAGCACGAGCCGCGCGAGAGTTAGAATGCCTTGTGGTGGCAGTTGGTTGAAGAGGGACAAGGAATACGCGCACACACACACACACGCGCGCGCAGGAAAAATCGGGGAGAGGCCTCGTAAGCTTGGCCCTCAGTTCTGCAACCACATTCCCAAGGCAAGGAAGGGCACACAACACAACAGCGAGGGCATGATCTTTCGTACGAGAAAAAGACAGGGGGATATCATGCATACTATCGTCCCTCAAGTTGAAGTCACGAAAACCCTCTCAAAAACGCGAAGGCTCTGGTGGACGTGCTGTTGCTGTCCCTTGCCAACGTGCGACGCGGGGATGTAGTCCGGTTCCACAGCAGAGGTGTCTATATCGCTCGTGCGAAAAATCGCAACAAGCAGGAGGGAAAACGGCCTCATGATCGCGTTTCTGCGTGCTGAAGTCGAGGTCCACAGCAGCGCGGGATGCAGAGGGTGCTGCGGAGCATTGCAAACTCCCAGGCTTTGAATTTTCTATTTGGGGACGTGCTGTTGCTGTCGTTACTTTTTTTTATTTTCCTTAATATGACACAACGAGTCCATCTCTATCATAGAAAAGAGTCAGAGACAGATTAACAATGGAATCATAGCGTCAGAGAAAACTACCTGTGTGTCTACGATTTCCCAGACAGCATATAGGGACATCTCCCCTGTGGGTAACAGGCTCAACGAATCAGTTTGGTAGCTGTCTTGTGTGTCTCATATATGTTGTGTTGGGAAGGTGCAGACGAAAGGTGTTGGGTACTGTTGGGTAGTCGGGCGTTTTGTGTGTCGCACCCTATCAGTTGTAGGACATGCAATCTCCATCTGTTTACAAACATTTTCTCAGTTTGGTAGCATAGACTATGTGGGGAGTATGTGCGGCTGATGTGCCATCTCTATCTTTGTTTCTTTTCGAGCGGTCTAGTCGTACCGTCGAGGGGTTGTCGATGCAGGTACCCACAGCGTACCCATAGCTCAATTCGGTTCGAAAATTGTCGCAAATAAGAGTTATCGCGCATGCTAGCATGCACGATTCGGGGGTGTAGTCACGAAAGGGTTGACCCGACCACCGCATCATTCGAAAAAAAAAAAAGTCTTGTCGTATGCATACATGCATACGTAGAATGTGCGGCACAACATATACCGCTTCGGTACGTTGTGGGGGGACGATAGACCGCAAAAATTCCTACCTCACGAACTGCTGTCTGCCCTGTGTATCGGTCTCCACCGCAGACCAAGCCTCTCCTGTCTCTCTGCTCTGTGTCTGCGGTGTCTCGCACACGTATCTCCCGGTGCACCACCGCCCCACCCTGCACCATGCGCGCAGTTTCTTCCCTCGTCTCTCTCTCGGCCTTGGCCACCTCCTCGGCGTTTGTCGCCCCAGGCAAGGCGATGCACGAGACTGAGTAACTCCGGTACATGAAAGCATGCGCACACACATACTTCTGCGGTGATTCACTATACAAAAAGCAGCGTGCTTTGTAGGCCGTGTTCCGACCTCTTGCCAGGCATGCTGACCTCTACGCAACCTGGTGTCGTCGCCTGGTCCCTTTTTTTCCACGTGTTCTCATCTCGGTGTTGCGGTGTTGGTCATGTCGCATCTTGCCACCTGTTCGCGTCTAAGTGACTTTCTTTCCGGCAGGCGGCAACGCCATCCGCGCAGGCGCCGGCAAGACCAACGCTGCCATGGCCCTGAGGTGTCTTTCTCGAGCGCGGCTGACTTCTTCAGTTCGGCCACAAGGGGCACTACGGCGACCCACGGTAAGAAGTCCGGTGTCCCTGTGGCCATGGTTGTAGGTTCAACGACAGCACGCAGTTTCGCCACAAATTTCGCCAGCAGGTGCAGGGACAGCGGCAGGCCCACTCGTCCACTCTGCAGGGCTTACCCAGGATTGTCGTCTGGTAAGGTTGGGCTACGGTCGACAAGTAGGCACATCGATAAACACATCATGGCACGGTCACTTTCCCATTTCGACGACCACTTGCGTTTCGCAGATACCAGTCGCGCGGTGCTCCGGACGTTGCAGTACTGTACTGCTGTAACGGGTGTGTCGTGCCGTTACTATAATATTATCATTCGTATTATCCTGCGAACATCAGCAAGCTCAGCCCGCTGATCAGTACCCACGACTATCATAGCAGGCCCTTATTCTGATTTTCTCAGCTATGAAGTACAAGACGTGCCCTTGCTCCGTTGATGTTTGTGGGGTTTGCATCCTCGGAGGTGTGTTGGCACGTTTGCACCATGGCAGTTTATTGGGCTCAATCGTTAGTCCACCAGTGTTTCTGTAGGCCGTACTCATGTCCGCGGACAGCTCAGCCACTCTGCTCGGCGTTCCTCAACCCCAACAGTCTCTGGAGGATCGCGGCAATATGGCCCATGCCGTCCATAGACAAGGCGAACGCTGTTGCGAACTGTGATTGTGCTTCGAATACGAACGAACAACCGTTCAACTTGTACTTGAACAGTTCAATTGAGCACGGTGTGCGAACGCGCTAGCAGCCGGACCTCCAGGGTGTTTTGTCAACCATGTGTCAGGCGAAACGGGCTTCCGTTAGTCGTCCAATCTGCCATTGTTACTCTTGTATACGTTGACAGTTCTCTGTGCATACTGATGCGATGCGGCTGCTCGAGCAGCCCGAGCTCGCGAGTATTTTGTCGGCCGAAAGGGGATTATTCGTCCATCGCTTATACTTTTGACCAGAATGATGGTGTTACTCTAGACTACATTAGTACCATAATTATGATCATGGTATCTTGGCCATGCAACTCCTGAGGCATTACCGTTCGGGTGTACCCGCAAGGTATCACTACAGAGGACTAGACGCCAACACCACTGTTTGACGAGACTCGCCACATAACATGGATCGTGCGTGACCAACCCGACTAGGGGAATGTTGTATCACCCCACCAGGCTGTGAGGACAATGATGATGATGTCCGACGCCGCGGTGACAGAGGAAGAGGCTGCCGCCGCGGCTCCCACGGGAGAGCTGACAGAGCTAGCGCGGCTCGAAATCCGCATCGGAAAGATCGTGGAGGTGAGAGGGTGGCTGTGTGCGGGTTGATTCCTTTTGGCGCCTACAGTATGCTGCCCTACCTTGTCCGGTTGCCACTGCTGGTCTTGCTCTGGAGACTTGTGTCAGTGGCTTTCTCTCTCTCTCTCTCTCTCTCTCTCTCTCTCTCTCTCTCTCTCTCTCTCTC